AATGGGTGTGTGTGTGTGTGTGTGTGTGTGTGTGTGTGTGTCTTCTTATTTGAACTTGGAAAGCTGTTCAAGATTGGTGTTTTCTTTGTAGAAGGTTTAAAAGTATTGATTTGACTTATGGCAACTCAGATTTTTTTTAAATGGGTTGTTCCTTATAGTAATTTTTTTACTTCTGTGTTTTCAAATTTATTGGATTACATTGTTAATGCTCTTTGCTTAGTAGTGTTGTAGTTTTGTCTTAATTTCTCATTCTCAGATTTGTTTTTTATTTTTTCTTTCTTTGGTTTTATTAGTCTTTTCAAGGCCTCGTTAATCCTTTCTGTTATGTGTTTATTTTAAATTTTTTTTAGTTGTACGTGGACATAATATCTTTATTTTATTTATTTATTTTTAGGTGGTGCTGAGGATCAAACCTAGCACCTCACACGTGCAAGGCAAACACTCTACCACTGAGCTACAATCCCAACCCTATTATGTTTATTTTCAAATTAAATAATTTTATTCCCTAATGCTTTTGCTTTCTTCTTTCTACTTTGAATTCTCTTTGTCTAATGGTTTTGGAGGGTGGGGAGAGAAAGAAAAACAAAGAAATATGGGATTGCATTTTGTTGCCCATGCTGGTTTTGTATATCCTCCCACTTAGTGATCCTCCCACTTAAGCCTCTTAAGTATGATGGGCATACAGGTGTATACCACTTTGCTAGGCTTAGTGTTTTATGTTGTATGATTAACACTTTAATTTCTAGCTCTTTCTTTCCCAGTGTAAATATTGGAGGCTCTATTTGTGTGTGTGTGTGTGTGTGTGTGTGTGTGTGTGTGTGTGTGTACTGTTTTAGGCTATATCCTGGAAATATTGATAAATACTATTTTTTTTAAAATATGGGGTAGTTCTCTTTTTCTAATTATCTTATTACTTTTATCATTTGAATTTCAGAGTTTTGAGGCTTTTCTTCTAATCTACCTTTTATCGATTACTTTGTACATGTACATTTGGTTTTTATGTTCCCAATACTTTGGATTTTATGACTTGAAATGTTATCAAAATCTGTAGTTTCAATGTGTGTTAGAAAATATATTCTTCAACTCTTAGGTACTGAGTGTTATATATGTATATTGTTCAATTATATTACCTTTTTTTTAAAGTATTGATTACTGAGAGAAAAACTTTCTAGAAATGTGAATTTGTGTCTTCTAAATTTTGGCTTTCTGTAATTCGAGATCATATTATTAGTTACATACATGTTTAGACTCATGTCCTGGTTCGTTGAACACTTTAAAAAATCATATATATGGTCTCCTTTTATCTCTCTCCTACTGATAATTTTTTGCTGTAATGTCTCTTTTTGTCTAGTATCAAAATGGCTTAGTATTTATTTATTTATTTACGTCGGTGGTAGGGGATGGTATTAGTCTCTACTTTCTTTTTCTGATGTTTTATATAAATTCAGGTAAGAATTTTCTTAAAGAGAAAACCCCCCCACAAATTTAGAAAGAATCAACAAATGTAAGTATATATTTGCAAAAAAGATTATAACATATGCAGATTTTCATAATACTGGTAATTAAAAACAAGGAAAACAGAGCCATGTAAATAGTTACTAAATACATAACAAACCTATCCTGGCTTTTTTAAAGACAAAAAAGCCAGGTATACACAACTGTAATTCCAGTGACTGTGGAAGCTGAGGCAGGAGGATCAAGATCACCTGTGACAATTTAGCCAGTCCTGTCTCAAAATAAAAAGGACTGGGATTGTGGCTCAGCAGTAGAGCACTCGCCTAGCATGAGCAAGGCACTGGGTTTGATCCTCAACATCATATAAAAATAAATAAATAAAAATAAAGGTATTGTGTCCACTTACAACTACAAAAAAAATAGTGAAAAAAAATTACTGGGGGATGTAATTTAGTGGTAAAGCATCCCTGGATTTAATCTCCAATAAAAAAGAAAAAAACAAAAACAAACAAAACTCAAACCCCAAAACAAAAGATTATTATTAATCACCTTATTCACATAAATTTGAATTTTGATGTATGCATGCATGCATGCATTGTATAGAAAATATAATTAATCTAATTGTTGAGTGTAGAAATAGAAAACATGGACAATAATGTGAAAAAATCAATTATCAAAAGTCCACCTAAAAGACACCTATGCTAGATGTTTTCACTATTACAAGTTTATTAGACCTTAAAGTAATAGTTAACTGTAGTCTTCTAAAGGTTTTATAGTTTTATTTTCACATTGACATCCTTTAGCAACCTAGAATGATACTGTTTGAGCAAATAGGAAAGAAAGGTTTGTACATATCATTGGTGCCAAACCAGATGAAGGCAGTACAGAAAAAAGATAATTGTAGACAAACTATGTTTATAAACACAGATGTAAAATTACTAAATAAAATCAAAGCAGTTTCAGCTGTATATTTAAAAAAACACATTATATCCAAATAAGGTTGATCTCTAAATATAAAAAAAAAGGGTTCAGCTTCTAAAGTCTACTCAAGAAATAGGCCATGTTAAAAGACGCCCAAATCTCTATATAAGATTATAGTCAATAGTTCCATATGTTATGTATGATAGTACTTGTTATTCACATTTTTGTTGACATATAGTTGTTTCAGATTTTTAAAGTTTTGGCATATTTGGTTGATAAATAATTGAATATCCCTATTAAGTTAATTTGCATTTCTGTGATTTCTTGTAAGGTGATAAACGTTTTTATTTACCAGCAATTTGTGTTCAACCACACTGAAAGTTTTATATGGAATCACACTTACTGTATAATTTATTTACCCAAATATGAGGCCCGTTTTAGTCATTTTTGTATCTCCAGCATCCTGTAAAATGCTTGGCATGTAGGGAATAGTCAATGATTAGTAAACATTGAATATTGAGAAGAAATTTGTGATGTAAGCAACCTATTTTTGAATGCCTGGAAATAGAATAGTTTTGCCATGTCAAAGGAATACGATAAATACAAGGAGCTGAGATTTGTATTCTAACAGGTTCCAGGGGAAAAAAAATTCAGGGGTACTTAATTTATGTTACTACTGTAGGCTCCCATAAAATTTGTGTAACTGGTAATCCTTATTATCTTTAATCTTAATTATTCATGATCTTACAGTATTCATTTGCTTTATGCTTTTAGGGTATATGCTACTACTTCAGGGAAAGATATTATTCATTTTTATTTTGAAAAGACTGTCATCCTTTGTTGCTAACACATTATTTTGACAATCATATTCTTTTTTTGTTGTTGTTGTTGTTACTGGGGATAGAACCTGGGGCACTTAACCACTGAGCCACATCCCCAGCCCTTTTTTGATAGTTAGAGGCAGGGCCTTGCTAAGTTTCTAAGGCTGGCTTTGAACTTGTCATGCTCCTGCCTCACCCTCCTGAGTTGCTGGGATCACAGGGGTGCACACTTTGCCCAGCTGACAATCATATGCTTACCAAAAGGAAATTTTAAAGTTTCTTTCCCTTGTCTTTTTTTTTTTTTTTTTTTTTAAATAGAGCATTGTATTTGTACATAGCATCTGGGTTCCTTTTGACATAATTATACACACAAGGAATTTATTTTCAATCCCCATTTCTCCTTCCCTTTCCTCCCCTACTCCCTCCCCTTTTTCTTTCTCCTCTATTCTACTGATCTTTCTTTCACACCCTTTTTATTATTTTTGATTGATACTTTTTCCATATGCATAAATGAGATATTCCTTTTTTGGCCATTTATATTTGTATATAACATGATTCTGTTAGATTTGTTTCTTGTCCCCCCCCCCATCCCTTTCTCCCTCCCTCTCTTCTACTCCACTGTCTTCTCTATATCTTTGTTGTATCAGATCCCCTCCCTGACTGCCTTTTTTCCTTAATTTTTGGTTTAATGTCCACATATGAGAGAAAACATTTGACCCTTGATTTCTTGAGTCTAGCTGCATGTTTTTCTCCATTTCCATCAATTTATTGGCAAATACCATTTTCTTAATCCATTCATATATTTTGGTGTACCTCAATTGATTTCATAATTTAGCTATTGTGGATTGTGTGGCTGTATTGCTATAGAATGCCAATTTTAATTCTTTTGGATAAAGACCAAGGAGTGGGATAGCTGGGTCATATGATGGTTCCATTCCTATTTTTTTGTTTTTTTAAACAGAGACTTGACATTTATTGCACAGTTTTATCCCCAGCAGAACATGTGGCATTCTAGAATATATGAGGTAATAAAATCAATACTCCAATGAGACCATTCCTAGTTTTTTGAGGCATCTCCCCACTACTTTCCAAAGCAATTATACTCATTTTCAGTCCCACCAACAATGTTTGAGTGCACCTTTTCCCCCACATTCTCACCAGCATTTATTATTATTTGTATTCCTGACAATTGCCATTCTTCTGACTGGAGTGAGTTGAAGTCTTAAGTAGTTTTTCTTTGCTGTTTTGCAGTTATGTTCATAGGATTAAAATATCTAGATTTCTGGTCTTTTAGATAAGTAGAATATTGCTTAGAGGAAGATGTATATGTAAAAGTATTCTCTAAGAACCAAACTGGGTTATAAAATAGCAGTAGTTTAGTGTCAGTAATGAGGCAGAGGCATAGTTTATATGCTTATAATTTGAGTGTCAGGTTATTTGGAGGGCTGTGTAGTTTGATGCGATTTTACATACTTTTGCTTTTTTTTGGTACCAGGGATTGAACTCAGGGGCACTTAACCACTGAGTCACATCCACAGTCCTTCTTCATATTTTATTTAGAGACAGGCTCTTGCTGAGTTCTCAGAGCCTTACTAAGTTGCTGAGGCTGGTTTTGAACTTGTGATCCTCTTGCCTCAGTCTCCTGAGCCACTGGGATTATAGGCATGCACTGTGCTGGGCTATTTTGGCTTAATTCTTAATCATAATTTGAATTTTTATTGTGTAAGTAATACTCATATCTATTGCATATGTAATTTGCATCACATTTCTAAGAAAGTAATTGATGTTGCTCTTTTGTTTCAGCTAAACCATTTACTTCTAAAGTGAAACAAATGCGATTACATAGAGAAGACTTTGAAATATTAAAGGTGATTGGTCGAGGAGCTTTTGGGGAGGTAAGAGATGAAGATTTTATAGAATGTTTGCTAATTGTTTTAGAAGGTGTGTAATACAGTTGTGAGATAATTTAACTGAAATATTATTTGCTGTTGTAATTGATGTGGTTGATTGGAAAATATAGGTTTTAAATGAAATATTTCTATATCAGGTGTTTTCTAAGATATTTCATATGTTAATGTAAATATGATTAATTTTCTGGACTCTTCTTTGGTCTGATTGTGCTTCCTTGTGCTAAACTGTTCTAAATTAGTTTATAGGAACTTTTGATATCTGATAGTACATATGACCTGACTTCTTCCCCCACCAGCCCATCTCTCCTTCCATTGTATTTTCATATTATTTTGAATCAATTTTTCAATTTTTACTCATTTATAATCTCCCCACCATGCACTCCTGCTCAAATTTGAATTTGTTTTGCATTGAAATTTGAAATCAGTTTGCAGATAATTAAAATCTTAATATTGAGGCAGCTAATCCATGGATATGGTATATTCCTCCATTTATTTAGGGCTTTATAAGTTTCAATAAATTTTCAGTCCATATAGAGTATTTCTGCATATTTCTGCATATTTATTCCTGGATGTGTGATATTCTTGATGTTATTTTAATTATAATGGTTTATTAAATTCCATTTACTAATTATTGAAAATATAATTACAATTAATTGAATCTTAGAGGTAGCAATTGTGTTAGTCAGCTTTTCATTACTGTGACCAAAATACCTGGGAAAATTTATTTTGGCTCACAGTTTCAGAGTGTTATTCCATGGTGGGCTGATTCCATTGCTCTGGGCCTAAAGTGAGGCAGAACATCAATACAAGGTAAGGCGGGGGTGGGGTGGAGGAACTCTGCTTACTTCAAGTCAGCCAGGCCTGGAAGCAGAGTAAAAAGAGGCTGAAGGGCTGCAGGGAAGATGAACCCTTCCAGGGCATGTCCCCAGTCACCCACCTCCTTACCAACTGCTTATAGTTACTCAGTTCGTTCAAAGTAGGATGTTCTGATTAGGCTGCAGCTCTCATAACCCAGTCATTTCACCTCTGAGTATCCCTGCATTACGATAGTATCTTTTAGGGGACACATCATATCTAAACCATAACATTCTGCTGCTGGCCCCCAAAAGCGCATGTCCATCTCACAATGCAATGTGTCCCCATAATATTAACAGTTTCAGCGTTGCCCAAAAGTTCAAGTCCAAAGTCTTATCTGAGTACTCAAGGCAGACTCTTGGCTGTGAACTCTATCCAAAACAAGTTACATATATCCAGTACACAATGGCACATAATGATTGTTCCATTTCAAAAGAGAAGAAGAGGGTCATAGAAAGAAGGGATGGAACCAATGAAACCAAGCCATGCAAACAAGTCCCACAACTCCACGTACATCATCTAGGACATAGTGGAGAGTTGTGCTTTTCAAAGGAGTTGGGTAGTTCCTCCCTTTAGACTTTGCCTATTGCAACCCACATGGCCTCTCTTTTAGCCTGGCTTTCTCTGCAGCCAGCAACTTTTCTTGGTACACTGTCCACATTACTATAATCTCTTAATTCCTTGTGCCTCTCTTCCAGCTTTGGCTTCACCTTCACAGCTTCATGCATCACCCTCTCAAGGGGCAGCCCCRTAGGAATTCTGGCCCTCCTATACTTTGCCTACCCTCTAGAGCTTCTTTGAAATCTCAATAGAAGCTTCCATGACCCCTTAACTTCAGCGTCCTACATTCCTGCAGAACCAGCACCACATGCATGCTACCAAGGTCTGCTGCCAGCTTATACTGTAGCTGAGCCTCCTGGGATCACAGCTTCTGCCACCTCTGAGTGCCTGCCTGCAATGCCAATTATGGTGAAATAACCCCACCCCCTTCCCATTGTGAGCAGTGTGCCCTCAGGATTTTTTCCTTTAGTTTTCCCTTCTATAACATTGAACCTGTAATGGGTATGCTCTTGCAAATTCCTGTGATGTCCTCAAGACATCTTTCCTGTTGTATCTGCAAAGTACTTAACTTCTTTTTAGTTTCATAATGTCTTTTAACAGCACACCTTCCCTTGCCCCTATTTTCCAAACGCTTTTTGGTCAAAATGTAAGTTTTTAAAAAAATTTATATATAGTTTTAGTTGTCAATGGATTGTTATTTTATTCATTCTTTTATATATGATACTGAGAATCGAACCCAGTGCCTCACATGTCTCTACTACTGAGCCATAATCCTAGCCCAAACTGCAAATTTTTAAGACTGCAAAGTCTTGTCCCACTTTCCTACAGTTATCACCCTGTTAATTCATTCAAGCTAGAATGGACTGATTAGGTTTCAACCGTCGTAATCTAATCATTTTACCTCAGAATATTCTTGCATCAACATAGGAGCTTTTGGGGGACACCTCATATTCAAACATAACAAGTTGAGTTGATTATATGTTTTTTTTTAAATATTTTTTTTTTAGTTGTTGATGGACCTTCTATTTTATTTGCTTATTGTTTATATGTGGTGCTGGGAATTGAACCTAGTGCCTCATGTGTAACAAGGCAAGCGCTCTACCACTGAGCTACAATGTACTCCAGCCCCTTGATTATACTTTTAAAATCATGAATTTTATTGAATTTAAAAAAATATTTTTATTAGTTGTTGACAAATTTTTAAATTTTATTTATTAATTGGTATGTGGTGCTGAGAATCGAACCCAGTGCTTCACACATATCACATACCACTGAGCCACAATCCCAGCCTGAATTTTGTTGAATTTTAATAAAATACTTTTTATCTGCATCATTTGAGACACTTGTATTCTTTTTTCCTTTACTTGGTTGTTGTGTTGAATTATACATGTTTATTTATTTATTTTCAAATGTTGAACAAATAAATTTGTATTCCTAAAATAAGCCCAGCTTCATTATTATCTATTATTATTTTTTAATGTATTAGTGGATTTGATGTGCTGTTGTTTTTATCTGTTTCCCCCCCCCTTTGTTAGATTTTTGCACCTATTTCTTGAGAGAAATTGGTCTGTAATTTTCTTGCTTCAAATGTCCTGATCAGATTTTGGTGTCTTGATTATGTTGGTCCCATAAGAAGAGGGAAGTAAGTACTCCCTCTTGTTTTTTTCCTTACATGCTTATAGGTTTTCATTTATGAAGCTATTTGGCTTGGAGTTGCTGGTTAGACAGTCTAACATAATATATTTAATTTTTAAAAATGGAAACAAGACTATTTTCTGTTATGTGTCAATTTTGGTAAGTTTATCTGTATCATTTCATTTTCAAAACTTAATACCATATGGATCATGTTTGATTCAAATGAACATTTATTAATCTTATTTTTGATTTGTCTTGCTAGGGGCTTATCAGTTTTATTTTCTTTTCAATTAATTAATTTCTGGCTTTTTGAGTTTTGCTACTGTGAGCTTGTTTTCTGCTTCATTAATTTCTGCTGTTTAATATTTTCTTCTACTCTTTGATTTTCATTTACTGTATTTTTTTCTAATTCATTGAAATGGATTAGAACATTGGTTTCTAGCCTTTTCTCTTTTATTGGAAACATTATAGCTATACAGAGTAGTTGGGTTCATTTTGACAAAATCATAACATGCATGGAATTTGATTTCAGTCTTCCATTCCTCTTTCCCCCCACCTTCTCCTTTATTTTACTGATCTTCCTTACTCTTATTTGTTTGTTTGTTTATTTATTTATTTAGGTACTGGGGATTGAACTCAGGAGCACTCAACCACTGAGCCACATTCCCAGCCCTATTTTGTATTTTATTTAGAGACTGGGTCTCACTGAGTTGCTTAGCACCTCCCTGCCTCCCCATTGCTGAGGCTGACTTTGGGCTCATGATCCTCCTGCCTTAGCCTCCCAAGCTGCAGATTATAGGCGTGCACCACCATGTCCGGCTCATTTATTTATTTTTGATTGGTTCTTTCTACTTAAGAATGAAGGTGAAATTCCCTGTGGTATATTTATATATGCAGGGACTATATATGTAAAATGATTTTATTTTTTTATATGTAATATGATTTTGTTAAATTCATTACATAGTTTCTCTTCTTTATCATCCTTCCTCCTTCCTTTTCCATCTCTTTTCTCATACTCCACTGATTTTTCTTGTAGCTTTATGATACCTGATTTTCTCCTCCTTATTTCCTTTATTTTGCTTTACCTTCCACATAGTAGAAAACATGGCTCTTGATTTTCTTCGACTGCCTTACTTAACTTGTTCTTTCCATCTATTTACCAGAAAATGCTATAATTTCATTCTTCTTTATGATTGAGTAAAATGCCATTATGTATATATTCCACATTTTAAAAATCTGTTCATTTATTGATGGTTTATCACCTCATTTTAAATGTACATTTAAGGCTGTGTATTTTTTTTTTCTAAGCAATGTTAGCTACAGCTGACCAGTTTTGATACATTGTATTTTCATTATTGTTTTGCCCCCAAATGCAGTGTCATTTCCAATGCGATTTTATATTTTAAATGTGTTTTGTGTTGCATCTGAGAGTTTAGAAGCTTATTTCTCACTTTTTAAACATTTGGAGGATTTTCATTGAGTTATATAATTTTCAAGTGGTTAGAGGATATATGCTGTATGATAGTAGTCCTTTGAGATTTGCTGTGTAGTATTCTATAAATATCAGGTCAAAATAATTAATTTTGCTTAAATTTTTCATTTTCTTTGTGTTTTCTCTTGATCTGTCATTTCCTGAGAGGATTTGCTTTTTTTTTTTTTTTTGTAATTATTCCTCTCAGTTTTTGTTGATAACAAATAGTTATATTTCTGATTAACTCTTTTATCATTATYGTATGGAATGTTCTCTATTACCTCTGTAGTACTTTTTTTGATAAAATTTTTTAATCTGATATTAATAAAGCCATGTAATTCTTTATTTTTTATTTTAAAATATTTATTCTTAAGTTTTAGGTGGACACAATATTTTTATTTTACATTTATGTGGTGCTGAGGATCGAACCCGGGTTGTCTTATGCATGCTAGGCGAGCACTCT